CAACCGTGTTTTCCTGTGCATTTTTGAGGGAAGGGCTCAACACATGCCCTAAGTCTCCATCTCTAACAGGTTTTTAAAAACCTTTCGGCGCCTGGATGCCCTGTAGACAACGCTAGAGAGCCCGGGCGTCCACTCACGAATCTGTGAACGACGAATACGACGTACTTTCCAATGCATGCCCCTTTTGAGAAAAGTTGCTCCCCGCCCTGGAACACTCCCGAAGGGGCAGCTCGGTCCCCGGGCAGGGGTGAGGGCCAGCGTTACAGTCTGCGCTTTGGGGTACGAAGGCAGACACGACCCGCAGGGCTGCAGCCCGTCACGTCTGGGGAACAGCAGGCACCAAGCGCCCGCGACCCTCAGCCACAGGAACCCCAAAGTCTCTCCCACCCGCCAGGCCAGGCGTCACGCCCTGACTCCTCCTAGGAAATCCGCACTGAGAGATGCAAACCGAGGCCCTGGGCGATCTGTCACTTCGACAAGGAAGCTCCACCAGCGCAGCCCCAAAGGCTCAAACCGCGTCAGTCGGAGCGGGACCCGCAGCTCTCACCCTGCAGGCCTCCGGGACCGCACCCGGCCCGGCGGAGCCATCTGGCTGCTCTCTGCTCCCGCGGCGCCCAGAAACTCCCGCCAAGCCCCGCGCCGTTTAGAACGGCCAATCCGGGCCGAGCACGCGCCCCTCCTCCCCTCGGCCTGGGTCCCCCGCCCAGGGCCCGCGGCTCCCGTCCGGCCTTGGGCGTAAGTGAAAACGTGGTCCGGATCAACAACTGCAACGGAGCTGGAGGCCAGGCCTTCAAGCTGCCGCTGACGGGCCACCAGAAGGAATCCCACTTTTCCGGGTTTTCCCTCCCACCCTAGCCGGGGCCTGTTTCTCAAGGCTCCGACGGGGGCGGGGCTAGTGCTGAGACGTGGGCGGGCGCGCAGCAGGAAGGGGCGGATCCCAACCCGAGGCCCCAACTGTAGCTTCAGTTGAGCTGTGAAAGCGGATTGAGCCACGAGGCCCCGGGGGCGTTAGAAGCAGCTGCCTGAGCCCTGTGTGCTCCTGCTTCCCTCCCCAGATCTCTGTAATGGGGCGGGTTCCTACCGGAGCCAATAGTCTGCGATTCTTTTCTTTCTGTTTAAAAAGGCGTTATAATACAAAAAGATGAATTCGCATATAATAATGAATGTAAAAATAAATCTATGAGAATGTAAATATAAAATGAACTCAAAATGGATCAAAGATCTAAGTGGAAGAGCTCAAACAAAACTCTCAGAAAGGAGGACCCTGCTGTGGCGTAGCAGGTAAGGTCATCATCTGCAGTGCTGGCATCCCATATGGACACTGGTTCCTGTCCCGGCTGCTCCAACTCCGATCCAGCCCTCTGCTCTGGCCTGGGAAAGCAGTAGGAGATGGTCTAAGTCCTTGTGCCCCTGCACCCGTGTGGGAGACCCGGAAGAAGTGCCTGACTTGAGATCAGCGCACCTCGGGCCCTTGCAGCCAATTGGGGAGTAAACCAGCAGGTGGAGGATCTCACTTTCTCTCTCTCTCTCTCTCTCTCTCTCTCTCTCTGCCTCTCCTCTCTGTAACTCTTTCAAATAAATAAATAAATCTTAAAAAAAAAAAAAACTCCTTAGAAGAAAAATAATGCAAAAGCTTCACAAAATTGGTAATGAAAAGATCCTGGAAGATGAAAACTGGAGGCTGACGCAGCCACATGACTCTGCTTAGTGCCATAGAACTGTTCAATTAAAAACATTTAGCCATGATTTTGGAAAAGAGGTTTAAGATCCCGCTTAGAGAGGCCTGGATCTCAATTTTGGTGTGCTTGGTTTCTGTTCCCACCTGGCTGATTCCAGCTTCCTGTAATGCAGCTCCTAACACGAGCTTCCTTGTTCAAAGAAACTCCTTTATTTGAGAGAGTGAGAGGACACCACACACAACACAACACACGGTCTTCCATCTGCTGGCTCACTCTCCAAATGGCTGGCAAAGGCCGGGGCTGTCCCAGGAGAGCTGGGAGCCCAGAACTCCTTCTGGGTCTCCATGGGGACTCAAAACAGCACCCATATGGGATACCAGTGTGCGAGCAGCGGTAACTGACCAGCACAGTGCCTGCCGTTCCCCAGCTGCCTTGTACTGTGCACTCTGGGAGGCCAGTGGTGATGGTTTCAGTACTTTGGTCTCTGCCACCCACAGGGAGACCAGATTGAATTCCCCTGCTCTAGCTTCTTTGCCTGGCTCAGCCCTGGCTGTTGTGGGCATTTGGGGGTGAGCAAGTGAATGAGAGAGCTATCTCTGTCTTTCTCTCCCTCCCTTTCAAATGAACGAAATAAGTAATTTTAAATGGTTAAAATGCTACATTTTGTATGAATATTTCACTACAAATGCAACATGTGACATGCATACACAAGTATACAACATATATAATGTAAAGAGTAGGGTGAGCGTGCCTACACCACCACCGAGTTAGCGTACATAACTGGGATGCTTGGTCTATTAGTCCTCTGAAGAACAGACACTCTTAGGAGTTTATGTTGATCACTCCTATGCTGTTCTACCAGATACAACCCTGGATAATGTACAATTATCGTATGTATCTAAATGACTTTTGTAGGTATTGGGAGTTCTATTTCTTACGTGGAGCTATGCTTTTATATTTTTTATTTCATTTTATTGACAGCAATTAGACAGTGAGAGAGAGAGAGACAAAGGTTTTCCTTCCGTTGGTTCACCCCCAAAATGGCCGCTATGGCCGGCGCACTGAGCCGATCCAAAGCCAGGAGCCAGGTGCTTCCTCCTGGTCTCCCACATGGTGCAGGGGCCCAAGCACTTGGGCCATCCTCCACTGCACTCCCGGGCCACAGCAGAGTGCTGGACTGGAAGAGGAGCAACCAGCACTAGAACCTGGTGCCCATATGGGATGCTGGTACTGCAAGGCAGAGGATTAACCAAGTGAGCCATGGTGCCAGCCCCCAGAGCTATGATTTTTAGATTTACTCACATTGTATCCACATCCATATGTAGCTGAAGTTCATTAATTTTCATTGCCTTCTAAAATGCATTCGTAACTATACCACAGTTAATCTTACTTCTTGTGTACACATACATCAGTTGTTTTCAGTCTTGGTATCATCAACAAGGTAGTCCTGAACATTCTTGTGCATGTGTGCATGCATGTCTCTTTGAAGAAGCCTGGATCTTCTTCTGGGTCTCCCCAGTGGGTGCACTTGAGCCGTCGTCCACTGCATTCTCAGGAACATTAGCAGAGAGCTGGTAGGAAGTGGAGCAGCCGGGTCTGGAACTGGCACCCAAATGAGATGTTAACATCACAGGTGGGGGCTTTACCAGCTACACCATACTGCTGCCCCTCCCCCCCATTGCATTTTGATTTTCCTGTCCCTTAAGGTGTCATCTCTTCATCGTTTACAGCTCATTCCATTTCCTCTTCCATGATGCGCTTGTGCAGGCTCCTGGGCAGCAGCCATGAAAGGGTAATGACCCTTAGGGACTGCAGGTAATTTCCCCACCAACAGGAAGAAACAGGGTTCTTGGAGGGGACTGGGTTGGAAGCTCCAAATTCCAGGCAAGGGGGGATAATGAAACTTCTGTGCTTGCAGGCCTGAAAAATGAAACTTCCCAGCTATGAAGACAGGAAGAGTTTCAGCATGCTGGATGGAAATAAGACAAGCTCCCCCCAAGCAGGTTTCAGAATGAAAAGGAGTTCATAGGCTTGTCACCGGGAAAGCCCTGGGCAGGCTAGGGCATCAAGCTCAGCTTCCCCCCAGGGTCCGGGAGGCATCAGCGCTTTGGATCCGTTTTCTTCTTCTCCTGGTTCGTCAACTCTCATCAGACCCCAACCCCCGTGTGCCTGTGCCACTATGGAAGCTGTGACTCTCCCTCCCTCCTCCCCTGGCCCAGGCTCAGGGATCCGTCACTCTATGCTCTACTTCTATGATGTCAGCCCTTCTGTGATCCCCACACAGGGGAGATGGCCCAGCGTTTGTCTTTCTGTGAGAGCCACCCACCCATCACCTCCATCACCTGCCCAGGGTGCACACAGGGACCAAACATCACACGGGACCAAAGCCATGCCAACCATGGTGAATTTTATTCATGAGAAGCATGTGCAAATGCTCAAGAAAAGTTCAGTCAGCTCAGCGGATAGCTCCTGGAGACGGGGGCGGGGCGAGGCTACTTGGGGACCACTCTGCAGCAGCTGCCAGGGCTGCTCACTTGGGATGGCAGGATGCAGCACGCCCTCAGCAGGAACCGGAGGATCCTCCTGCCGACCCCCGCGACAGGCCCTGCTCTTGCCCTGGGCGCTGGCCTTGGTGTCTGTGGTGTCAGCATCCTTGGGCTCACGGGATGCTGGCCGGGCAGCGGCTTCTGGCTCTGCAAGGTCCACGTGGCTCCCGGCACTGGGGCTGGAGGGCGACGCTTCGGAGGCTGGCTCAGGGGCGGCGCTGGGAACAGGGCTCCACTCTTGCTGTGGCTGGCCTGGTAGGAGAGAGTCAAGTGTGGGGTCACCTTGGGGGCCTTGGGCTCAGCTCTGGAGGCCCGAGGCAGGGGGGAGGGTAAGGACTCATGGAGGCCTGGGAGGAGTTGGGGGCGGCGCTGGGAGCAGGGCTCCTCTCCTGCTGTGGCTGGCCTGGTGGAGAGAGTCAAGAGGGGGTCACCTCGGGGGCCTTGGGCTCAGCTCCTGGAGGCCCCGAGGCAGGGGGGAGGGCCAGACTCACTGGAGGCCTGGGAGGAGTTGGGGGTGGTGCTGGGAGCAGGGCTCCTCTCCTGCTGTGGCTGGCCTGGTAGGGAGAGAGTCAAGAGTGGGGTCACCTCAGGGCCTTGGGCTCAGCTCCTGGAGGCCCCGAGGCAGGGGAGAGGGCAAGGACTCTCTGGAGGCCTCGGAGGAGTCGCTTTGTGCGGAGGAAATATTGGACAGACATGCTTTCAGAGGACACTGCATACAACAGACAAGCAGGTCCTTCTCTGTGGGGTGGCGCTCCCCGCCCTGTGAGGACTCGGGCAGGGATGCAGGGCCCTGGGGCTAAGGCCGGGCGTCCCCTCAGTCCCGTGCCTGGCAGCAGGCCGAGGCCCGCCAGGTACTCCTTGGCCTCTGAGTCGCGGGGAATGCCCAGGGGCTGCAGCAGGGTGACAGCGGCCTCCTTCTCCTCCTGGGTGGCTTCTCGGCCGGAATCGAACACCAGTGTGCCCTGGCATCCTCTGCACTGGGCCTCCCCGAGGCGTGGACAGTGAGCAGCCAAGCCAGTAGCTCCCGCAGGGGCGGGCTGACGGCACGCGGCAGCACATAGCAGGCACACAGCACCGTGTCCTGCAGCTCCTCCGTGTCCTTGCCGCGGAAGGGCAGCGTGGCCGCCAGCATGGCAAACAGCACCACTCCCAGGCTCCACACATCAGCCTTAAAAGCGTCATAGGCCTCCCCGAGGAAAACCTCTGGTGCGCAGTACTCGGGGGTCCCCCAGAAGCCCCTTACCAGTGTGCCCTGCTCCAGCCGCAGGCTCAGGCCGAAGTCCGCCAGCTTGATGGTCATGTGCTCGTCCAGCAGCAGGTTGCCCAGCTTGAGGTCCCGGTGCACCACGCGCTGGGCATGGCAGTAGCTCACGGCGGCCAGCGCCTGGCCGAACAGGGTCCTGGCCTCGGCCTCAGCCAGGCCGCCCTGCTCAAACACGTAGCTCTGGAGCGAGCCCTTGGTCGCCAGCTCCATGACCAGGAACAGGTGCGTCCTCGTGTGCCGCTCCTCCAGCAGCCGCACGATGTCGTGCTGCAGGCTCCTCAGGATGGCTGCCTCCCCCTGCGCGGACAGCGGGCTGCTGGGAGAGCAGTCTCGCAGGAGGATCTTCATTGCCACGTACTTGCCCGACGCCAGGTGCCGGGCCAGCTTCACCAGGCCAAAGCCGCCCCGGCCGATTACGTCCACAAAACGGATCCCATCCAGAGGAGGATGGAAGTCCAAGGGGTCTTCCATGATGCCGGTCACCTAACTACGCTCTCTCGACTCCCTAAATCACTCGACGCACACTAGCTAATCACCGATCCTCACTGCACTGCCTACAACACAAAGGGACCACGGGGGACTGACTACCCAGCTGACTAAGACACAGCACCAGCTACTCTCACTACTCTAGCGGCGATGCCGCAAGCCTATCTCAATAATGCAGAAAAAACAAAGAGGAAAAGCCACTAAATCCTCGAACGCTGATACTTCTGAGTGTGCTAGCTGACTAGAGTGGGGGAAGCAAAATAAAGAAAACTGCAAAAAAAGACCAAATGGGCAAAACAACAACGAGGAGGAAAACAACAAACTAAACAAAATGGAAAAAAGCAAAAACCAAATAGACCCAGAAACAAACAACCAAGAAAAAGCACAAGCAACACCAATGAGCGCAAAGGCTGGTTAGATGGGTCCTAGTTACACAGATCACAAAGAGTGCTCTCTGGGTAAGGCGGACAAAAATCTAGGCCCCCGTAGCAGCTATATATACTTTTTGGGGGTTCACCTCACATAATGGCGCCTTGTGAGAGCAGAGCAAGAAATGGACCATCACAGCCCAGCCAGGGACTGTGTAATATGACTTTCATAACAGTGGTGGACTTATGAAGTCAGAGCAAGAAATTGACCAATGGGAGCTGTAGTTCATCCACAGTGGTTTTTCTCGATAATCTTCCAATAAATTAAAACGATACCCAAAGAGTTTTTGGCCTAGGTTGGTGATAGGGCTTGATACTTAATTTTGAGAAACTCCAACCTATAGATTGCTTGGGTGGCCTTCTCATTACTAGTTTAAATATGATGATACGTTGCATCTTTTGAAGACCTCCTAGTGTCTCCACTTAGTATAGCCCCTCCTTTGTCTTTACTCTCTGAGTGATGGGTCTCAGAATGATGGAACAACATCTCTGGCCTCGGTAAACTCAACAAGTGTTCTGCTGCCCAAGACACCGCCAGGTACACTGTTCGCACCTCCAGAGCTGAGAGGAAGGTGGCTCTGTCACCCTTTCCCCCTAAGTCATCGTCAGATTTCTTGGCAGAAAACCCTGGAAGCCCAGAAGGTAGTGGGGTCTGTGCAGTCCAAACATGGAAGGCCCAATCAGAGGCAGCCGAGGAAAGCTACATCCTCTGAGACTGTCCTCCACCCGGTAGGGAGGAATCGAGGCACTGCCAGGCACTTGGGGTTTTTGGGCTCCTGTAACAACAACCACCAAAACTCCTGGCTCCTGGCTTCAGCCTGGCCAAGGCCTGGAGGTCATTTATGGGCTGTATCAGAGGATGGAGGAGCTCCCTAGCTCCCTCTCCCTAGCTCCCTCCCTCCCTCTCTCTCTCTCTCTCTCTCACTAGCACTCTCTCTTTCCCCTCTTCACTCTCACACACATAGAATGCAACTTAGGAAAAAAGGAGAAACTCCCTGCTTCAACTCCTCAGGACCTGCACAGCCCAGAACTAGGACGAGACGATGGCCGCATCACAGCCTCACATCTGTCTCCTTGGGACAGCTTCGTGCTGAGCCCTCAGGAGCAGTGTTTCTCCCAAGGAAGCGACAAACTCATCTGTCGCTCCCTGTCTTCATGGGGGAACGACACTAAACCCTGCCTAGGCTTCATATCCGAGTCACGGCACCATTATGTCGCTCCCCGTCTTCGTGGAGGAACGACACAGGACCCTGCGCTGTTCTTTCGTCTGCTCGGCCCTCCCCGGGTTTGCTGCTGGTTCTTCCCGGGGTGGCTACCGTCCCTTCCACCTCCGTGGAAGGGCGATTCCCCCTGCCACATTCCCCACTTCCGCGGGGGAGCGGCACACCGCCGGCCGGCTCTCTCGGGGGCTGCACAGGTGTTCCCCTTAGATGTTCCCCTTAGATGTTCCTGGTGCATGCCGTCTCTCTCCTCCTTTATAGTCCTCTTCCACCAATCCCAACTCTGCTACCCACACGCCGAGTACGCTGCTCTCCTCCAATCAGGAGCAAGTCCTACAGTTTATTGGCTGAACTGGAGGCAGCTGTGTAGAAGCTGTTTTCTTCTCTCCCAGCGCCATATTGTGGGAGAGCAGATGCATAGAATAAGTCTTAATTCCAGTAACTTAGTCTAGTCCGAGTTGCTCCCCACACTCATCTCAGGTAGGAAGTGAGCCCGGTAACCCCTGCCCCCACATAGCAAGTGGATCTGTGTCTCCTGCAGTTCTTGAGGAGCCCCCAGGGCCCAGCACAGCCATGGGCCCCAGGAACACATGATGGTCCCTCTGCACCGACTGCCCACACCCTCTTGGGAGAGGAACCCCTCCCTGGGGAGATGACCCCCTCCTCCAGGATGTCCAGGGACACTGCACAATGCGATTTCTCCATGATTTCCTGCAGTGCTGGTCACCTCCTCAGGGCTGAGAGGAAAGAACCAGCACCCCAGGAATTCTCACTACAGTTTTGCTACAAAAGTCAAAAAAATTAAATTATGAAGACGTTGGGGACTGTTTTCCATTAAGCACATGTAAAAACTCATCTTTGTAATAAGGTTGGAGTTTTTGAAGGCAGATCAAATAAAGATGAAACTCAGGATACTACCAAAACATCACCAGATATAGAATTCAAAATTTATTTAGGTGCAAAAACTTTTGAAAACCTGTGCATAGTTTGTCCTTAACATACTTTGCCCGTGAATGTTTTGTATCCCCTCTCCTATGCGTGAATTTCAAAAACTGCAACAAATAAGCTCATCCTTTATTTCCATTTTCCATGAGGTTTTCCAAGTCCCTTCAAGTAACCCAGTTCAAGGAAAAACAGAGTTCCCATCCGGACTGCAAAACAGCGTCGGCAAGGACGAGAGACACACCACAGCTCTCCTTCTCATCACTCCTCCCCAGTGCTGGTGGGAGCCTTGCAGACCCATGTGGTTTTAGAAAATTCATCTCCCCCAAGGTAAGTGATGGCCCTGAGGACTCTGTGTCCCCCAGCTCTGCTCAGCAGTAGCCTGAACATGCTGTGGAAAGTCCTATCTTGTCCACGCTGGACTAAAATGAGGAGGCGGAATCTCTGTGGGCACTGCCCCAAGAATTCAATTCAGTGTAAATCCCAAAGGAAACTGCTAAGAAAATGTCTTATTAGACTGTTTTTATTTTTAAAACTATTTATTTGAAAGGTGGAGTTACAGATACAGGGAGACAATAAACACACACGGGTGGAGACAGAGAGAGAGAGAGGAAAGAGGGGGAGAGAGAGAACTTTCATTCACTGGTTCACCTGCCCTGCCCCCCCCCCACAAATGGCTACCATGGCTTAGACTAGGCCAGTCTGAAGACAGGCACCCAAACTCCATCCAGGTCTCCCCTCAGTTGGCAATGCCCCAAGTAGTTGGCCATCTTCCTCTGCCTTCCCAGGCACGTTAGCGGGGAGCTGGATCAGAATCAGAGCAGCCGGGACTCAAACCAGCCTCCTGATATGGGTTGCCAGTGTCACAGGTGGCAGCTTTACCTGCTATACCACAGCACTGGCGCCTAAATTCTGAAGAGCCAAGGCGCCTCCATTTTAAAAAGTAGCCTCCATTTTCTGGAGCAGGCCCAAGTTCCCGTAAATGCAAACATTCAACAGTTACCAAAACCAAATAAGGAAATGCCCTGGGCCCGAGCCAATCAGGATCAGACTCGTCCAACCAAGAGCTACCAGGAATGGCACCGTTCAATCCACTGTAGCCCCGTACCCCAAACCCTTGCTGATGTAACACTGCAGCTTTGTCTTTTAAAAACGCTCCCGAACAAAGCTCAGGGCCTTCCTCTGACCTCCACTGCGTCGGTTGGTTAGATGAGGTCCCTGCCGCAGCTTATACTTCCAGAGTAAACCTTGCTTTGCATTTCGGTGAGATCAAGTCTCTGGTGATTTTTGGGGATTCAGCGATCTGGGCATAACAGTTTCTTCTAAGATTTATTTATTTGAGAGATCCGTGGACAGAGAAGGGATTGATCTTCCATCCTCTGGTTCACTTCGTACATGGCCGCAACAGCTAGGGAGGGTCAGTTTAAAGCCAGGAGCCTACGGGGCTGGCACTGTGGTGTAATGGGTTCAGCCAGCGGTGCAGTACTGGCATCCCATATGGGTGCTGGCTTGAGTCTCAGCTGCTCCACTTCCAATCCAGCTCCCTGCTAATGTGCCTGGGAAAGCTGCGAAAGATGACCCAGATGCTTAGGCTGCTTCTCCCACAGTGTAGACCCAGAAAGCTCCTGGTTCCTGCTTCCACCTGGCACTTCCCTTGCCATTGTGGCTATTTGAGAAGTGAACCAGCAGATGTAAGACCTCTCTCTTTGTATGTCTGTCTGTCTCTCTCTCCCTCTCCCCTTCTACTCTGTGTGTCTGTGTGTGTGTGTGCATGTCTTGTCTGTTTGTCTGTCTGTATTCCTCCCTCTCTCTCTGTAACTCTACCTTTCAAAAAAATAAATCTTTTTTGCCAGCGCTGCGGCTCACTAGGCTAATCCTCTGCCTTCGGCGCTGGCACACCAGGTTCTAGTCCCGGTAGGGGCGCCAGATTCTGTCCCAGTTGCCCCACTTCCAGGCCAGCTCTCTGCTGTGGCCAGGGAGTGCAGTGGAGGATGGCCCAAATCCTTGGGCCCTGCACCCTGGGAGACCAGGATAAGTACCTAGCTCCTGCCATCTGATCAACGCAGGGTGCCAGCCGCAGCACGCCGGCCACGGCGGCCATTGGAGGGTGAACCAATGGCAAAGGAAGACCTTTCTCTCTGTCTCTCTCACTGTCCACTCTGCCTGTCAAAAAATAAAATAAATAATCAGAAAATAAACCTTTTTAAAAAGCCTAGAACTCCACCCAGGTCTACCACAGGGGTTGCAGGTGCCCAGGTACTTGGATCATATGCCGCTGGTTTCTCAGGTGTGTTAGTAGGGAGCTGGCTTGGAGCCAGGGCTTGAACAGGCACTTCAAGTATGGGATGCTGGCATCATAAGCAGTGTCTTAGCCCGCTGTGCCATACACCAGTCCCCAGAACCAAGCTTTCTTTCTCCCTCCAAATCTGATATCAGTGAAGTAAAGGAGTTTTGCTTGTCCTCAGAGAGGTGTCACAGACTTTTGTCAAACTTGGTTCACTGGGTGTGGTGATAAATAATCTGCACGTGTGTTGATGTGTTTTATCAAGCTGATGAGAGCCCTTGTACTCAGCTAAGGCTGCTGGGGACCATGTGCTAATGGGGTGGACATGCAGAACCAGTGACAGCCAGGTTACTCATCAACAGAGAAAGTGTCTACACAATGCCTCTTTAGTGGGCAACGAGACCCAAAACATCACCCTCACCCGTGGCCAGGAAGGGCAGGGGACACAGGCACAGCCCCCTGGGTGGCCACCCCTGGTCACAGTGCCTGAGCTGGATGAGCTCATAATGCAGGTAGCGTCCATGCCAGGGCTCTGCCGGGCCGGAGACAGAGGTACCAGGAAGAG